ATAGGGTATGACTCAGTTTCCTCGTTTTAACAAACCTCTCAAGGCCTTGATAATCAGGGGAAACCTTCCAAGATTCAAATGTTGGGGCGGTACATACCAAGTTCATCCTAGTACACGTAAGGTCCAAATTCCCCTTGAAGCAACTTCAAGTACAAACTTTTCAAGCTTCGAATACTTGGGGCAATCTATGTCAAGTTCATGGTGAGGTCTAAGGTCTTTCTGAGGGTACTTCCTCCAGATACTGGAGATTGAGGGGCACATCTTTCAAAATTCGAATGTTGGGGTAAACCACTGCAAGGCTCGACCAAAAGGAGTTGATTTCAAAATGGTTCATCAAAGCCAAATATTTTCAAGAGTCTTTTAATCAGGGGCATAATGCAAAATAGTGGGGTCATTCATATTATGATCAAACTATTTCCAAGCTCATATCAATGAGAATCTCCTTCAAGACCCTACTAACAAAATAGGGAAAGACAATCCACATAGGGGTAATCTCTCCGCTTACTTTCATAATCTCTAGTGGATCCTTCTCCTATATCAGCTCTTCAAGTTCAAATCGAGTATCGGGAAATCATGATAGCATAACATTCAAACATCGTGTTACAAGCAACCTTGTTTCATAGGCAAACCTCCACGCTTTAATCATCCACGACCCATCATAGGGGCATCAATCAAAAGCACACGATTCTTCATAAATTATTATCATGTATTCATTATGTTACTTCGATCCAGAATCAAGCTATGCTTATCATCTCATCCAGCTGATGACTTCCAACAACATGGATCTAACAAAGAGCCTAATTCTCATTGGTACATCAAAATTTCAACATCCATTGATGCATATCCAAGTCACCCTTTACATGAATTGGTCAGTCATTCAACGTATTAACACATGCATCTGCATGCATACATGGCATATCATAGACCGAGACTTAGGACCCCGTAAAAATCTAGAGTCAGTTTCTAGGGGAGTCACTATTTCACTCTCTAACATCTCTCCGACTATCCCTTTTAGTGAGTCTACTATACAAGAATTCTTCTTCAAACTAAGGCGTGAGCAGCCTCACACAACCTCATTTCTTTGTCCATATGTAAGCAGCCTTATGTAAAAGTCGTGAGCAACCTCACACTTTCCAAACACCCGATCGACGTCTGCTGGTGACCCTACCAATATTAGCGACCTTGTTGTCCCTCTCACTTTACCAAGTTGATAATATTTCGGTAGCCCCACTGACATTGATTTAAAGCCCAGTTCTTGTCTGGTGCATCATTTCAAAAATCTAGTTATCATCTAGAAGTGTTCCAATTTCTGTTTGGAAGCTAAATCCTCATCACCAATTGTCAACTAGTAGCTTGCCTTAGGCACTGATTTTGCAGTTCAAATAAAATGGGCATTGCATTTATCAATCATCACATCATTTCAATTCATAATATTATTATGTTAAGCATACATACTATGCATCATGCATGCGTCAAGCATAAACACGTCAAACATGCATACATATATTACATTCAATCATATATGCCCATGAAAACTGCGAAAAATCTCAAGACATGACTACTAGCTAAGATGAACTCAAACTCAAATCTAAGCTTAGCACTATCCATTCATCTTGCTATCATTATAGCTACCTCGGTAAAGAACGGACAACCGTCAAAGGTACCGCTATCAAAATTTCACTAGGCAGCTTACCTACGATTCATATCCAAGGCCTAGTCATCACCAGCCTCTGGGAATTACACTTGCAATTATCAAGTTCAAACTTTCCAAGTTCGAACCTCTCAAAACATTCAATTTCATTTAGTTATCATGTTGATCAAGCCTTGGTTGAGAACAGACACGATCGACTTCTTTTGCAAAATTCTGGAGTTTATTTCTTCATGATAATAGTCTTGGTTGAGAACATACACAACTAACTTCATCAATGAATTTGGGGTTTATTTTTTCATGATGATAGTCTTGGTTGAGGATAGACGCAACCGACTTCACTAGTGAATTTGGGGTTCATTTCTTCATGATGATAGTATTGGTTGAGAATAGACACAACCGACATTATCAGTGAATTTGGGGTTCATTTCTTCATGTTGATAGCCTTGGTTGAGAACAGACACAACTGGCATCAGCAACAAAACTTCGGTTTCAATCTTCAAACCTAGCATTTGTTATGCTAAACAATTACCTTGGTTGAGAACAGACACAACCGGTAAAAAAATCCGATCTCATCTTTGATTTAGTTATCTAAGATTTGATCATCAAAAACAACTTTTTCTATGACATAACTCATTGCGTTAGTCTCCATGCAACAATGTGTGAAATCTGCGATATAGCTCATTGCGTCAGGCTCTATGTAGTGATGTACAAAATCTGCGATATAACTAATTACGCCAGTCTCCATACAACAATGTTTTTATCAAGCTTTTTCAATCATCTACCCCCTAGGTTGTGGTAGATGTACGAATTGTCAGTTCATATTATTTATTCCCTAGGTTGCAATGAATACGTGAATTCATCCTCAAATTTTTTACTCTATAGGTTGTAATAAACATGATGAAGTCGGCAATATAACTCATTATGTCAGGCTCCATGCAGCAATGTTGTTATCAAGCTTTTTTAATTATCTATCCCCTAGGTTACGATAGATATGCGAATCTTCAGGGTTATATAATTCATCCCCTAGGCTGCGATGAATAACATAAGCCCGCTCCTATTGTCTTTTATCCCCTAGGTTGTGATAAATGCACAGGTTACTCCTCTGCAATATAACCCATTGTGTCAGTCTCCATGCAGCGATGTGTGAAATCCACGATATAATTCATTGCGCCAGTCTCCATGCAGCGATGTTGTTATCAAACTTTTTCAATCATCTACCCCCTTGGTTGTGATAGATGTGTGAATTGCCGGTTCATATTATTCATTCCATAGGTTGCAATGAATACATGAATTCTTCCTCGAATTATTTACTTCCTAGGTTGTAGTAAACATGACGAAGTCGACAATATAACTCATTGCGTTAGGCTCCATATAGCAATGTTGTCATCAAGATTTTTTGCGATAGATATGTGAATCTTCAAGGCTATATTATTCATCCCCTAGGTTGCAATGAATAACGTAAGCCCACCCCCATTGTCTTTTATCCCCTAGGTTGTGATAAGTACACAGTTCTCTGCGATATAACTCATTATGTCAGACTCTATGCAGCGATGTGTTATCAAGCATTTTCAATCATCTACCCCTAGGTTACGGTAGATGAGAGAATTACTTTTCAAATATCTACCCCTAGGTTGCGATAGATATTCGAATAAATCTGCATAATCCATTGCATCAGTCTCCATACAGTAATGAGTTATCAGGCTTTGTTTAGTTCATCCCCTAGGTTGCGATGAATAGACAAAATCAAATCAAAACTTACTATATCAGTCTCCAAGCATTAGTAAGTCAACTTTTTCAAAATTTGCATTTTTTGTAAATATGCAAAAGAATCTACAATCTTTTAGATACTGACGAGTTATCTGCATCGTTGTATCTAAGTTAAATCCAAAATTTGATTCAAACTCTGGTAGGATGATACATTATCATCTTTGCATATCTCTTTATCCAAAATCCGGTAGGATGATACATCATCATCTTTGCCTATTTCTCGGTGCTCTTGGATATAATATATCAGTGTATCCTTGTTTAATAAATCTTTGGTCCAAATTTTAGGTTCTTCCATTATTTATTAACCCTTCGATTCAAATGTGTGATACTTACACATTCTCTCATCATTCAATTGAAGAGTGATTAAATAGGGGCAGATGTCATACTCCAAATTTGTCTGTCCTTAGTGCGACCGTCAAATTTATTTTTGAACTTGGGTTTTAAAATTTCTTTAGTTTAATTACATTAACATTTTGGGATTTTTATAAAATATTTGCCTCTAAACCTATTTAAAAATATAATAATTTATTTCAGATCATTTTTATTTTTGAATAAACAAATACTTGCTCGTCTTCATGTACTTTCATAGCTTTTAATTTTGAATAAGTAATATAGCACAATTGGTAAGGAATTAAACTTGCAAGTATGAGATCGCGGGTTCAAATCTCTTATGGTGCACTTTTAACATTTTTTTTTCTTTTTGTTACTAATTTTCTTTCTTTTTTTTGAAAATCAGGCTTTGGACTTTACATTCATTTTTGGGCTAACTTACTTGCTAAGTATTTTAACCTAATTTCACTCTATAAATAGGACTATTGTTTTCCTAGTTTCTCATCCATAATATCCATAATTTTTACAATTTCATTCACTCACATACACTTTTTGTTTTACAATTTCTTTTCATTTGTGGTTTTTATTCTTGGCCGATGATTTCATACGAGGCCATTATCTTTTATTTCCAATTATTTATTTTTAACTATATGATATCAAACTGATGATGTTTTGGTTTATTATATTTCATGTTGTAATAACATTTTTTACAATATACTTTATGCATTAGAAAACTCTTAACAATTATTTTCACACTTATTAAACCATATATTATCACAAAATACTATACATATCGTGTACATATTTTTTGACATTAGTCAACCAATCTTTTGACCAAAATCTCATCTTGTTTTCAACATCAACAATCCTCATGTTTTTTATTATGAACAAATTATAGAAATTAACACTTTTATCAATTAATTTTAAAATTGTTATAGAAAATCTTTTTATTATAGTTTTGATTTAATTTACTAAAAGAATTCTAATTTTTTTAGAGACTATACAAAACAACATGGTGCATACATATTTCTTTTATCATGATTGAAAATCAAATGCCTAATTTCTACACTTTTATTTCCTTTCTTCTCTATAAAATCGTAAAACATTCATATGGGAAGTCAAGTGTTCACTAACTTTTTCATCATAAATCATTACCTCTATTTTGAAATAACACTTGTAAACTAACAAACCAATATCTAACTACACAACATTGGCCAATTTGAAACTAACTGCAACGTGAAAATTGGAATTCAAAAATACCATAATTATTGCTCTATTGTTTTTTTGTTTTGCAGAAAAAAGTAAAAGAAAAGCAAGATCCAGAAACCGAGTCGCTCAACTGCCTCGATTCCGATTGATCTCCGCCATCGAAACCTTTTCTTATTTGCCACTTATTGCCACGCAGAACAACTGTTCAAATCAGCTCCGACCACCACGACGTATGCAGATCCGACACCTCTGCCATCACGCTTCTAGCCACCCAGACCACGAGCTTGATTCCGACGACATACTGCCCTCCACCACAAAACGAAGATCTGAGGAAATCAAAGCAGAGAAAAAGAAATGAATGAAAATTGGGGAAGAGAGAATGAGCGCTCACGAGAAAGAGAGAGTATCTTCTTGCTTTTTTTTTTCTTTTATAAATTATTATGGTTATAATTATTAGCATAATGTGAATGGATTGTGATTCTCTGTTTGGGCCTTGGGCTTAAATCCTCCACGAAATTTCAAATTTCACACCCTGTTTTACTTATGCCCCCGAAGCCTATTTATTTATTTAGTTTAGTTTTAATTTAGTTACTTTATTTCATTAGTTAATTAAGGTAATCATTTATTTAGGTTAATTAGTTTTTATTAATTAACATACAGAAATATATGCTTTGAGTTGTTTAGAATAAATCAATCACTTCTTTTTAACATAATTAATTCACATTCTATAAATAATAGGATGTTCGTCTTCGAGTAACTAAATTGGTCCACACGTCGTCTATCGGTTTATTATTCAAAATCAAATAATTAAAATTCATTCAACTCACCAAATTCACCATCCGCGAGTGACACATGGCCAATATCTGACCACGTGATGAGGCGACTATATCAGACTCCCCCGCTCTACGTCCTACCATACTCGATCAATCGAACATCAAAACAGCTAACCAATTTTAAACCATTTTTCCACTAACATAACAAAAACTACAAGATATTTTCGAAAAATGATTAAGGGGAATTACTTTTAAATTAACTGCGAACTACGTCTACGCTCACACAATTTTCAATCCAGAAAAGGTTCAAGGATAATTCAAAATCAATTATATGTAAACCATAAAAAAACACCAACCAAACTGCGAACTACGAATTGAGACTCTGATTCGTCATAAGAGGATACGTAGGCATACGACTACAATCGTGACAAGTTCCCCTAATAAAAATTAAAACCCTATTTCCTAAAAATTGCGCTTCTACCCCTAGTATCCTTGTGAGCAAGGTAGATGAGGGGTGCCTAACACCTTCTTGTCGTCTAGAACCGAGTCTAAAAAATCTAGAATCTCTAAATTTTTAGGGTTAACCTTTATATTCCCTTTCTTAGGATAAAAATTAAGGGTGACGACTCTCAAATTTAAAACCAGTTACAACAACATGGCTATGTATAAGTCTCCCAAGTAATTCTTGTAGAGTGAAACATGCTTTGAGAAGAAAAAGGAAGGTGAAGTTGGCGGGCCGACGCGGGAATATGGTGTGATCAGGTGGAGTCTGGGCAACTGTCTTATCTGGCAGGGCGTCGACTCCGTCACTGCACATAACACAAAATGAGCAAGCTTACACATAACTTTTGACGCACTCAACTGCAATTATCAGGTGCAATACAACCTATAAAATTAAACTTATTCTTTCGTTCCTAGCCACGTGATCTGTCTAGAGATTAATAAATATGATTTGATGTTGTGGCTTCAATGTGTTATAAAATACTATCTTCTTTTCTTTTTATAAAAGAAAAATCACTTTTCAGATTTATTACATAATCAATCTATCTAGTTTATAAACAAAGTAAATATATTAGTTTTTCAATAAATCTAAAAAATGACTTGTGTCTTGTAAAAAAGAACAAAGATAATAACTGTTATTATCCAAAAAAATAAAATAAAATAACATAACGTTATCGATGATAGTTGAGACGACGGTGTAGAAAGTTATGAAAAACATTAGAACTTAATTCACATAGTATATCTATCTTCTATAATACTGTCCAACCTTCTATTTCATTGCTGGCATTGCACTTTGTAATTCCTTGTGCAATATTGTTCACAAAGTAGTTTATAATTTCCTTATCAAAATCTATTAGATGTTTGTACTCATTCAGATGACTATTAAAAAACCATTAAATTTTAAGAAAAAAGAACAATTAAATATCAATCAAAATTAACTATTTTAAAACTATTGTATGCTCATGATTTAAATAAATTCTCTGTTTCAACGTTTTAAGATGGATAATGAAATATATTTTTTTATTAAACATAAAAAATGACTTTTGTAAATTTAATTTATGTTTTATATGAAATCAACAAATAATAGTTTTACTCAACTAAACTTCTTAATAACTCTCAACAATTTTTCTTTAAAACAATATTATTTGAACACACTTTTGTAAGCATCTTACATGAACATGGTATAAATAATTAAAGGTAGACGAAGAGTGTAGAAAAACCAAAAGAGAATAAAAAAGAGTATTTTAAAAAGCCAATTATATGTTTTCTGTGTCCACAAGTTCTTTTCAACTTTAGTGATATGTTTTTAACCTCTACCCTTCTCATGGGAAAAATAGAGTAATTTTAGATAAAAATTGAATAAGATAAAGAAGAAAATAATATTTATTTTGGAGGAGAAAATTAGAAAATTGAAAATTAGATAATTCAATCCTCTAATTCTCCAAAAGAAATAATCTTAAATAATTTAAATTTAATAAAAAAATATAAATGAAATATAATTATTTATTATTTTTTAAAAATTATTAATTTATAAATATTAATAATTTATTTATATTAATATATAAATATAAATAAATATTATCAACGAAAATAAAACTCTAAGAAAAAAACTTCAACCAATCAGTAAGAAAAGAATCTGGTAATGGTTTTTGGGGTCTTGGCAGCATATAATGTTCCTAAATAGAAAAAGACATCAATGTTTATCCACTGATCTTGTAAGTAGCCTCAATAAATTCAGCACCATCCAAAGTGGCAAAGTGTAGCATATATATCTCCAAAATGCCCATAACAATAATATGAGAAATGATATTTATACAATTAAAATTAGGTGTTAAATAGGTAATTTGTTTTGTAATTTTACGGTGTATTAATGTATTTTTAGAATTCGTGTAAATGTATGATATTAAAAAGTAAGAAAAAGATAAAGACAATAGTTTTCTGTTAAGACATGATGTCAAATGCAGTGTCAAATACGGTGTCAATTTTGAATGTTGAAATAACATGACTCTAATAACATTATATATATACATTGAACATAATAGTAATCACAAACATATGATATAAAGTTGAGAGAATAAAACATTGGCTCTTAGATCAAACCAAGCATAGCTATTCACAATGGGTTTACATTTTTACATCTCAATTCTTTCTATTGCAGCTTTGGCTCTATGCACTTTAGCAGAAGAACACAGTAAGATTAATTTCATTTTGCATTTGTCATAAAAACTTAATTTGATTTGATTCATAATTATTGATACTTTTTTTTTAATTGTATGGTAGGTTCTGTTAATTTTAGTTATATTGGTCAAAATGGTCCAGAGAAATGGGGAAGTTTGAGTCCAGATTATGCAGCATGTTCAAATGGGAAAATTCAGAGTCCAGTGGATCTTGTATACACAGATATTGTTTTGAACAATCAATTGAAACCATTAGAAAGAAACTACGTTCCTACAAATGCTACACTTGTTAACAACCAATTCAATATTGGGGTATGTATCAATCTTCATTCAACTTTGTTATAGCTATACAAAGATATTTGTATCTACAAGAGTCAGGATTCGAATTTGTGACATTTCACTTTTTAATTAACAGATAAATGAATTGATGTTGATGAATTTGGTATTTATAGGTGCATTTTGAAGGAAAAGTGGGAGATATTCATATTAATGGAAAAAATTACTCATTAAGACAACTTCACTGGCATACTCCTGCAGAGCACCGGGCTCATGGCCGTGTGTAAGTTTTTCTATAATCTTTTCATTCAATTATTTTTAGTTTTTTAATCAACAATTAATTGTCTCACCAAAAAAAATCACCATTATTGTTGTCGAAATTACTTTAAAAATATAACATTTTATCTGCAACTAAAATATAAAATTAAATGAGTGAGTTCAAGGAATAATTAATAAATATTACTAAAAAATAAATTAATCCAAAAAAATGAAATTACAAAAAATTAACTAAATTTTATTTATTTTTAACAGATTTCTAATATTATTAGAGCTTATTTCTCTTAAAATCTAAATAGTTAAAAAAAATTAAAATTGGCCGGTTGTAGACTCATAAAGAGGAGGTAACAATATAAATTTTGCCAGTGCCTCTTGATCATTATGAAACTCATTTAAATATATATTTAAACAAACATTTTTTTAATTTAAAAAACTAGATTCTATTACTACTAATGCCTTGTAGTTTTTATTTATTTATTGTGTCACTAACTAAAAGGTCGAGAAATTATTTATTTATATACCCCGTAATATATAAATAACTTTATTTCGATAGAAAAAATATTTTATTTGTTTTTTTATAAGTTTGTAAAAATTTACGTAAATAATAGCAAGTTGAACTACAATCAATTTTATAATGAACTATAAAACAAAATCTCAAATATATGGTTAAATAAGATTTATTAATATATTTGTTCGGTTAAATCATAATTAATTAATAAAAACCTTCAAAAACTTAAAATCATTTGGAGTACAATTATATAACAATTCTGAACTAGAGGTACAAAATATTGTGAATACAGACATGAAGCAGAGCTTCACTTAGTTCACCTAACAGAAGATAACAATAATATAGCAGTTGTGGCAGCACTCTATAATTTGGGTGATCCTGATCCTCTAATCTCCAAGGTAGTTTCATTAGTCACATTCACAGTTATTGTGTTACTCATAGTATTATAAACTAGAAGAATTTATATCATTTGTATTATTATTTATAGATTGAAGACAAGTTATATGAGCTAGAAAATCAAAGCCGTGCAGGAAACAAAAATGCCAAAATTGCCCTTGGCACATATGATGTAAAAGAAATAAATAAGAATATCCATAGATATTATAGATATATTGGATCTCTCACTACTCCTCCATGCACAGAAGGTGTCATTTGGAATATCGTCGGAAAGGTAATAAATAATAATTAACTTGTCAGTGTGTAGAATCGTTAAATTTAGAGATATGAAATTTCTCTTTCTGAATCAAACGACTCTACATGCTGTTATACCGTAAAGAGGCTATTTAGGTTTTAAATTCTTTTATAATATGCAGGTGAGAACATTGTCCAAGAAACAACTTGAACTTCT